GAATAAATGACCAAAACACTGAGATTTAAAAAGAACATTTTCTTCTTTTTTATTTTCAAATAAAGTTTCATGTGTGTAATTTGTAAAATGTGATATCTCACCAATCTTGTGTTGGTGGAAACTAATGAAGATCCTAAAACATTTTCTCCTGCAACTAAACTAATATGCTGGCAAAGTAACTTCTTGGTTTGCATATTTATAAAGCAAGAATTAATCAAAGCTGCCAAAGAATCAGAAATCAGAAATCCTTGCACTCACCACAAAAACCACATTGAGGAGGATAAAAGCTAATTTGAGGCAGGAGTTTGCTTTCCCCATCTTTGCTCTGGATGCTGCAGGTCAGGGTTCTGGAAGGTTCTGGAAGGTTCTGCTAACAAATATATGGGTGGGAAGCACAAAATGACATCACATCCCGGGTCGTTCATTGGAAAGCATGTGCATTTTTATCTGACAGGAGAGAGAGGTCGAGTGCAGCTCCGGCTGCAGGTTGTGCAACGCAGGCGGGAAATGATCTAACAGGAATCCATAAAAGGTAAAAAAATTCAATGAGAAGCAAAGAGAACAAGAAAAACATGAAGGATAATAATTGTTTATGTTGGGCAGATTGAGAACAGTTTTCTCCAGTGGGTTTCACTGCATCTGCTGTGGTTGGCTCCGGTCAGAAGGGGCCCACTGGACAAAGTTAGGAGGGGGGAAAGCAGCATAGTGGAAAAATGAGAGCAGAGTTCCTTGGAAGAGTTTATCGAGATGCAAGCATCTGCAGCCAAAACCACAGGGAGTTCTGGATGATTTCTGTTCACATCGAAAACATCCAACTTTCTCCAGCCAGTGTAGTAAAACTGAACAACATTATGACTCTCTAAATAACAAAACACTGACATTTACATCACATCTGGGTGAGTGACCAGGTAAAACCTGCCTGGTGAAAGTTTTCACTGCGCTGGAGGATTCACCGTCTGGTTTACAGGAAAACCATCAGGGAACCTTTTCTTTACATCTCTGAAAAGTCAGAATTAGGAAATTAATGAGGATTTAAAAACTTAAATTCTGCAGCTAAAGCAAGAATTCTGACTTCAATCTCAGAATTTTTCCCTCAGTTTAATCTGATTTGGGATTAAAGTCAGGAACACATTTGTCAGGTTTTTGGTCTCTTTAAACCCCGTCAGCTTCTGGCCAAACTTGAAAAAGCTTGTTTCCCTCAAAGCAATGCAGGAACCACTCGTCTCAGCGACATTTTTTATTTATGTTTTCTTTTTGTCTTTAGATTATTTCAGTTGACAGTGTAAGACCACCATGACTTCACATGAGTAGTGAGAGTCACAGAGCAGGTTGAACACCTACAAACTAATTAACTAGTTTTCCAGGTAATGTTAACAACCTACTTTTAAGTTAACAGTGAATGAACAAACACATAAAAGCCATTGCATCACAAGGCTAGTTGGTCTCTGAATGCAGATTAAATGATGAATGTCCCGTTCCCACCAGAGTGTCTTTGTGGAAGCTTGAAGCCGAGGCTCTTTGTCTGCAGACATCATTGTGAGCTCAGGTGTGACAAGTTACCTGATAGACTTCAGATGGACCTGAGTGAAAGGGATGGGTGCGCTTGATTCTCTGTGATGTGTGTGCCAGTTGGGTGGAGATGGCAAATGCACTCCAGTGTACCATTTGCTGTTTTAACTTGACAATATTAAGTGATTAGATGTGAACTTTAATTCTGAGAGTAAAGTCAAAATTTTAAGCTAAAAGTCAGAATTGTTCATTTACATTATTACTTTGAAGAATTAAAGTCAGTATTCTGAAATTAGGTTAAAACTTTGAATTCAGAGTGCTGACACTGGATGGTGATTAACAAACAAATTCTAAAAGTAAATTCAGAATTTAAGCTGTAAAATTCAAGTGGAAACAAACTCAAGTATTCACACATTTTGTGGCGAATGACAATATGCAAGATGAAACTTGGTGTTTAAAATTCAGTTAAGCTGCTTATATTGGGGGTTTGGTGAAGACGGGTCATTCAGGGTTATACAGGAAATGAGGACAGCAGGAGGGTTAAATATGCATTTTTCCATTAGTTCATTTATCCATTATTATAATAATTGGCCTGCCGTATTTTCTGTGGTGTTTCGTCCCGTCAAGTGGACACACATTTTTTATTTATCATTTCAGAAATGTGTCGTATTTGTCTCCGGATGGATGAGGCCTTTGGCTTTCCTTTCAAATTGTAAGTTACAAGAAAAACGATGATTTAAAACAATCAAAACAAAAACAAACTCCATCGGTGTAATTTAATTTGCAGCTGATCCAACTTAAACATATTGGGTTAACTGCTCACAATTAATTAAATTAAATTTATCCACATAAGTTTATTAAATTGTCATGTTAAACAAATGTTAATAAAGTAAGTTTGACAAACATAATTCTAATAGATGTGACCAATTAACACAATCTTTTAAAAGTTGGATTCTCTTGTTTTCAGCTTCACTAGGATTGGGTTAAATCAACAGAGCAGGTCTGTTTCATAACCTTCACTGTTTTTTTTTTACATCTCTTTGTGTTTTCTGGATATTATCCGAACTTATCAGTTCTTTTTCTTTTTGTCTGCCAAATTTCCCACCTGCCCACCATTGTGAGCAGAAATAACAGGAAGTTCTAAAAGGAAACAGGCGAGAAATAATTTCCTGAAAACTAAGTTAGAAAGTCAAATGATGCAAGTCGTATTTGAGAGGAAGGGTTGTGAAAAACTATTTCACAATAAACCTAAGTATGTTCTAGAAAACATCAAACATGTAGCTGAAAGTTTGCTAAAGTCCTGATGAATTCCTAGGATTTTATTTTTACTCGACACAAAAACACAAGAGGAATCTCCAGTTTTTTCCTGCTGACCTTTGTTTTCTGCTGCAGCCGCATCTGGAAAAAAGATTCATGAACAGGAAGTAATTAATTTCTAGCTGGTGATGTGATTTCTGTTTCCTGATGCCTGTAACTGCAGATGACCGTTTGTCCACCTTTCCTGAAGTCTGCACACACATCCACAGCCCTGGACAGGATGTCTTATAGCATCATAAAATTGCAGAGAGAAATCAGTTTGTATTTTTCTTTCTTTATTTTTACATTATTTTCTCATTCAAACATGAAAATGCAGATATTTGCTTTTCTAAATCTTGCACATCTTTCTGCAGCAAAAGGAGTTTAACATATAAAGCAACAACTAAACACAAACATTACAGCAAGGAGAGAAAAACTCCATGCAACTATATTTATATCTGGGTTTTGTCGACGTTAAAGACTCAGAATTTTTCACTTTGATGTTGGAATTTTGTCATAATCTAAAAATTCAGATAAAAAAAAAACACTTTAAGCTTGAAGTTATGACTTTAATTTTATATTTTTGATATAAAATAACTGATGGAATTTGGAGTCAGTAAGCAGGAAGTTGCAGCAGTTGGCCACTAGAGGGCATATGGCACACAGTGAGTATTCCTGATTCAGCAAGCCAACAATTATTCAGTGTGTTGTTGCCCCTGTTGCCCCGGGCCGGACATCTGGGGCCGGATGGGAGGCGGAAGAGGACTTCAGGAATCTCAGCCTCTGTTATGTCTGGTGCAGGATGAGGCCTTTCAGGGTTATATAAATGCTCAGTCTGGGTTGACTCATGGTTGCTAAAAACTTTACTAGACCACTATATTCTAGTAGTGGGTGTAAAATATTGAGCTGCATGACTGACTTTATTTTCACTCTTACATTTAAGTTTATGACATGCAAAATTACAAATGGATCACAATACCGTCTCCAAGTGTATTTTGGGTAAAACTCGTCACCAACGTCATCAGTCACTTGGCGATGAAAGGCAAACTAGGTAGAGCATTTTTAACGGACTAAGCGTCGTGTTTGAAGTTTCCCACTTGACCCACATGCAGAACACAAACAGGAGATGGTAAAAATCAGAAAAAGCTTATTTTAAACAGATCAGTGATTGAGTGTTGTCCTGGGACCACCGGATCGGGATCGTCTGAGATCTGAAGGAAGGGAAGATGAGAGGTGAGAGGACTATAAAAACAAAGGTGCATTGTTATTCAAATTAACTTTAATTATATGCAACAAAATGCATGTTTATTGATGCGGTACAAGGAAAAAAATAAGCCAATAAGTGGAGCTTTTGTTTGTTGGATACATGAAAGGCATTCGGTGAGTTTAAAAGGAAAGCAGCATCAGGATGTTCAAGTTGAAAACTTTGTGTTTAAAATCTAAAATCAAAACCAATATATATATATATGTGTGTGTGTGTGTGTGTGTGTGTGTGTGTGTGTGTGTGTGGTGGGGGGTTCATGGAAAATGTGCCGTGTGTAACTGTTGAAAAAGGTCATGGGATTCTTGAGCAGACTGAGGCCGACACACATTCCCATCTGCAGCTTTTACAGTAAAACTCTTGGTTGGTTTCAGTTTGACTCACTTTATATGCAAGTGCTTTACTTTGGCTCAGCACATGTGGTAACAGTCATGATTCAGTTATGATGTTAAGGATCAAGAATTGATAAGGTCAGATAAGAGCAATTTCCAGAAATAAGCAGCTCTTAGATGTGAATTCTAAAAGAAACTTAAATACAGGAAAAATCTGTAAAACCTACCAACCAGACCTACTCTGTTAGCTTCACACATCCGTATTCTTCAAATGTACAACCATCCACTACTTTATGAGTTTCTACCAAAGGGGTTTCCAAAACAAACATGGCACATTTTCAATAACAGTTAAGAAAAAATGTGCAACCACATGACAGGGTGTAACAGAAAGCAAAGTAGCAGGAATGCCAGTGGCTCTGTAACTCCAAAACAAAAACCCTGAACTCCAAACGGCTCCATGTTTGTTATTTCTGAAAGTGAACTCCGTCGTTCAGCTCTGCAGAGGCCCGGTAACCGTATGTTCATTTGGTTCAGGTGTGTCAGAGAAGGGATCCGTCACAATAAAATACAACATTTATGGTGGAAGCATCACAAAGTGTGGAAACGTTTGCAAAACATTTTATTTGGTAACATTTTTTCTAAATAAAGACTAAAAGGAAAGAATCTGAACGATATTTGAGCATCATTCCATGAAACCCATCAAGACTTGGAGGTGGATCTCAATAATCCCTCATTGCCATATCTGCTATTCCTGCTCTGTCGTGACGATTGATCTGATTGATCATTTTAATGGAGATGATCAATCCCACCATCTGGAAGAACAAGAAGAGACATGAGAACAAAGGAAGGTTCTGGTCTAACTGTTGGGTTTATTCTGAATGTTTCAGCCTCCTCTCCTCCTAAACTGACATCCATTGTTTGATAGCCAATCTGCTATTCTGCTAAAGCACCACTACTTGACGAAACATATTAGCATCCCATGTTTTCCTCTGTTTTAGAGATGGGAAATCAACGATATTGGATATAAATGTGTCCTGAGTCAATTCCAACGTGTCCAGTCGTTTGGTCCATATTGTTGTTTCACATCTTTTTACTTTCATTTTATATCTGTAGACCAACTGAATACTGAACCACGGAATATAAGTTTAAACATGTTGTACTTAAAACTGCAGTAACTTTTACAAAAATGTATTTATCTGTTGAAACTATCACCATGTTGTGACAGAATGAGACATACTCTGTGAAGAGATCGATCTCCTCCACCTCGTCTCTGAGCTACTACTGCTGTCTGCAGAAGTGCAAAAACATCCAGAGCTAGAAGGAGGGTCTTAGTGCTGTCAATCAGATTCATGTACTCGCTGCTAAATGTGCTAATGGCAGAGAAACAACTTCCTGTTACAGGAAACCCATATCTTCGGTGGCTATGCTAACTAGCTTTAGCATTCATGCCAGCCTATGTTGTGGTGAACCAGCTGTAGCTTAGCAAAGAGCTAGCAGGAGGGGGTGAGGGCGAGAGCGCTGATCTCCACATGTTCAATTCAAACACAGTAACTGCTGGTGTAGAACTTGGATTTTACATTAAAATGGCCTAAAAGCCATTTTTTGGCTCCTAATTTTCCTTCATGACTGGAGTTGGATTGTTTTTAATCCACCATTTCTCCAAAATAAAAATTTCTACATGTATCCACATGCATGGAGTTCAGTTATTTGTTAGCTTTATTTAAGGCTACCTGTTTAAAGCAAATACAGCTGATAAGGAGAGCTCTTACTGCCAGAGAAGAAAAAATTACAATGGTAATTATTGACAGAGGTGCAATTTTAATTTTCACGATAAAAGTGAAGAAAATTAGGACCAAAACATTTTTGTCTCCCTTCTCAAGTCTTTCAGTCTTAAAGGATTTGTGTTGCTGTGCAGTGATGATTGTCTGTAGACGATGACAGAGAAAATGAGCAGAACTTACAGCAACGAAAGCGAATCCAAAAGTGATGCCTAGGATAATATTTATGCCATATTCAACATAAACCCCAACAACTTCACCACAGGACTGAAAGACAGAAAGTTGAGAGTACGTTACGGGTTGCACCCTGGAGATGTAACAAAATGGTTAAGTGACATTTGCTTGACTGAATACCTTGGGGTGGACAGAGAAAAGTCCTCTGTATCCCTGTGAGAAAACAACATGTTCAAACATTTGCAGATAATTAGTGCATTCTTTAACAGAAGATGAATTATTAAACCTTTTTAACTCACCTGTGAAATGGATTTACATTCTGATCCATATGAAGGTGTGCAGCGACAGGAGTCAGGGATGTCTGAGCCCCAGTCCTCGACTCCAGTCCATCCACAACACTGAAGCTGAAACACGAGACTTTAAAATTAGGATTTTATACATTACAACAATGCAGAATACATTCTGAAACAAAAGAATTGCAGATGCTTTAATTTTAATCTAATTATTTGTCCATCACTAATATGCACAATGTGTTTTTTATTAAACAGGTTTGTCTGTGCTTCCTTTAAAACACCACCAGGGGGAGCCCTTTAGTCTTACTTGTTTTTGCACGGTTATAAGAATTTTTTTTTTCTCATCGTCTTTCAAGATCTCCTTGGCAACTTCAGGACTTCGAAAGTTTTCCATGGCCTAAACATTAAGGCAGAACATGATTAGATAGAACCAGACAAAACACATACAAGATGGAAACAAGTAGGAAATGTACTTTGTTGTCATTGGGGATTTTCTAATGAGTGACGGTATCATTTTATGCCTTTATGTTTTTCCATATATGACATCAGCACTTTGCTGGACTAAAAAAGGCTAAAATCCCTGCCAGCATGCCTAGGTGGCCCCCATGTGGGGAAAAGGAGGGCAGACTATATGGGCCCCACATGGGTTTGCCCATTTAGGGCCCATGTAGCGCCCATGTGGGCTGTGGCCCTACATGGGCCCTACATGGGCAAACCCATGTGGGGCCATCATGGAACCCACGGACAAACCCATATGGGACCCATATAGTCTGCCCTCCTTTTCCCCACATGGGGCCCACCTAGGCATGCTGGCTGGGAAGCTCAACAGCATTTCTACAAACAAGATATTTGATAAAACAGGCTGCAGAAAACTGATGCCTGATTTTATTTTGTGACAAACTCCAGGAAATGGTTAGATACCAATAAGCCATAAAACTCTGCACTAGACTTCACCGTACAGGAAGAGATCTGGTTATTGGTCTATACCAGAGAAGCTTGCATTGCTTTGGTGTGGAGAGCTTTAGTGATGGTTCCAGGACTTGACAGAAAGAAATAAAAAGACTGATTTCATTGCAACTGTGTCTGTGAGCTGGTTGTCCTTCAGTGACTGGATGCAGCGAATGAGGTCTGAGTCAGACGGTGCTGTGCGTCGACGTCAGTGATCGCTGCGCCTGCTCTACCAGCTGACCCGTTTCCTTAACTCAGCCCAGTTTCCTGCACTACACAACTTCTGTAGTAGATTACCTGATTTTTTGAAACACTGACAAGAACTCCACAGATTACCATGAGCACCATTCCAATGCCCATCAAAACCGCAAACTGCAAAGAAAACAATAATTATTGAATTAGTGATCAACTTAGAATTAGAATTAAATTTTGTGAAATGTACATACAAACTTGAGGCCACATTTATTTTCGGTGCGTGCAGCGTGGCTCCCCAGCAAGGAGATCAGGACAGTGCTAATGGCAAACACCCAGAACCAGAATACGCTGGGGGCGTCAAGCCCTTCCATCTGATCAAAGAGCAAAAACACAGGACTCACCGATTATTGTTTCAAGTTTTTCCAAGTTTATTTGTTTCCCCCAACTTTCTGTTCTCCACTGTATCTAGTTATTGGCAATTATCATTACAGAGAGGATTTTAACCCATCGTAGGCCGTTTACGTCTCCAGGCTACGGGAGCAAGGCGGCATTTCCTCAAAGGAAAGAATCTATGAAACATTAGTCCAAAATAAAGCACATTAAAGTTTAGTTTTTGTGTTTTACCTCATAGTCACTGAGATTGATCTGCAGTAATCCGTAGATCAACATGCCTCCCAAACACTAAAAAAAGGAATTCACAAGTTTATTCAATAAAAACAAACAAAATACAAAAACATTTTATTTTCCTTCATATTTCCAAAAAATGAAATTTCAACAGTAAAGAAAATAAAACATGTTATTGATAATAGTCTGTTTAACCAGCATTAGCATCAGTGAAATGCGATAGGAGCCACAGTGAGGGTTAAATTTCACATTTCATCACACAAAGTTATCATTTCATGGCAGATTTTTCAATAAATGCATTTAAAAGTATTAGTTTTCTCTATTTGTCACATATTTGTCATTTCTACATTAAAACACTAGGGAGCGACGCAGAACTAAAAACTAAAAGATACTGGACATAAAAATGTTTGATAATAGAAAAATAATTCAAATATTTAAACTACAGTCAAGATTAAAGTGACAGTTTAATGTCGACTGGACAAAACTGTTGGCTTTGAAAAATTATTCATTTCTATCAAAGATATGCAGCGACTCCTGCAATTTAGACTCAATTTGAAAAGCAATTAAATCCCTTATAACTAAATAAATAGTAACAGTTATGCAAAAAACGAAACTAATTTAGAAGATTGCATCTTTGAGGCATCAGAAAAATGGGAAGGAAAGTAGAAAAATAAGTAAAATCAGAGAAGTGTAACCATTAATCAAATAAAAGTAACAGGAAGTGAATATTTTTGCCATTTTTATTTCTACTTTGCTCTCCCTTTTAGTAGTTTTGAAAAATTAAGATGTAAAAATCTAAATATCTAGTCATTTTTACCTGCTGACCTCATTAATTATTATATATTTTAAGTGCTTTGAAAAGAACATTAGTTAAATTTTCTACATAAATAAAAAAAAAACTTATAAAATCCAAAGAAAATAATTTTACTTACTGTAAACAAGCAATTGAAGGAGATGAAAACAGCCTTCAGGCATCCATCAATTTTCCCCATTTTGTCTGTTTTACTTTGACTAGACAGTTGAAAGAGAACTGAACTGTTCAGAGACGAAGTTATGCTGCTGCTCCTGCAGGCGATCAGCTCAAAGACACAGAGGGGAAATCAGCAACCTGCCAATGACCAGGATGAGGAAGCATCAAAACTTAACAAATACGTAAATTTAACAAGACGGGAATTAAAAATGCTCCAGTTTTAGGATCTCATTTCCACTCAAGATGTTTTTCAAGCAGAATTTAAGGAATATTTTTCAATCATACAGAAGATGAGATTAAACATAAACATCTTCAGTCTGAACAAGAGCAGAAGGAGGAAGCATAAAATCAGCAATTAAAGCAGTTCCAGGAGGAAACGCAGAAAAACACTGTGTTCAATTGTTTGTTTTTTTCTTCCTGCTTTTAAACTTCAGTTTTACCAGAAAACCTGGAAAAACGGAAGTTCATGAACACCTTTTTTCCCATTTCATATTGTTTCTGAACTGTTCGTGCTTTGCTAGAGCGGCGATGCAGCAACACGTCGATCTCAGCATCAGGTGACAAACTGACGCTGAGAGCAGCACGTCCTCCTCTGACTCGCTTAAAACGGTCGTAACTTTATTAAAGAACAACAAAAGTATCAACAAAATGTGTTCAAATTAATGACCCGACAACAATAATAACCTCAGTGATTATTGTTTCAACAAGGTGTTGCGCAATCCTGTGCGTCGGAGAATAAAAAGGTGTGAGTGGTTTAGAGTTGATCACCTGTTCGGGTTGTTTTACCTTTGATTACCTTTGTCTTGGTGCATCACAGCTTCTGTAGTTTCTGAACATCCAATAAACGACAAACTTGGACTAATTACCTCGTTCTTTGTGAGAATACGCCATTTACAACAAACATCAAACACG